TTGAAAATGTGTAGGAACTCTGCATGCATTATGTACTTTCTACAAGGCACTGTTTGCGCATTCACTAAAATCAGAAATGAATACATGTAGGCTGGTGACACAACACCACATTTTTGTCATAGCCATTCACATTTCACTTTTGCGGTATGCATATACTGTTTCAGTTACGTAACTAGAAACTTGCACGCAGCAACATTTCCACATTCAAAAACGTATAAATTTTTTTTGAAAGCATTAGTGGAACCTGAAACCAGGTAAACTAATGGTTCCCCAAATCTGGGGAAGGGTCTTCATGCATATTCATATGTGGCACACTGTTAATGTGATTCTTTAAAACTCATCAACAATGAGCTTGGACGATCTAAAACTAATAGAACTGAGATAAAACTCTATAATGTGAATCGAGATCATGTGGCAGAGGCAGAGGCTTGGACTAGTGATAAGACGTGTGCGATTTTTCCTTTGGCCAAACCAACAAAAACGCATGAACTGTGCAGTATAGGACAGATAAAATTAAATACACGGAAAGCAAGTAACCCTGAGGATATACCTCCATGGCTTCTCAAGAATCACGCAGAAGACCTGGCACCAGTCATAGCACATCTGATCAATACCTCATATCAAGTGGGTATTCTACCAACTGCATGGAAAGAAGCTAATATATGCCCAGTCCCAAAGATTGCGAATGCCAAATCTGACAGGAGACCAATTTCCTTAACTTCTTGCATTGGTAAAATGCAAGAGAGGTTTGTGTTGAAGAAACTTATGCCAACAGTTCTGAAAGAATGCAACCTATCTGCCTAAACACAGCATGACGAATGCTTTGGTTAAGAATATACACACATGGCTAAGGGAGCTTTGGCCAAACCAACAAAAACGCATGCATTGTGTAGTATAGGAGAGATAAAACAAGCCCTGCTAAGATTAGATGCACGGAAAGCAAGTGGCCCTGATGATATACATCCTTGGCTTGTCAAGAATCACGCAGAAGACCTGGCACCAGTTATAGCACATCTGATCAATACCTCATATCAAGTGGGTATTCTACCAACTGCATGGAAAGAAGCTAATATATGCCCAGTCCCAAAGATTGCGAATGCCAAATCTGACAGGAGACCAATTTCCTTAACTTCTTGCATTGGTAAAATGCAAGAGAGGTTTGTGTTGAAGAAACTTATGCCAACAGTTCTGAAAGAATGCAACCTATCTGCCTAAACACAGCATGACGAATGCTTTGGTTAAGAATATACACACATGGCTAAGGGAGACTTCTCAACAACCAACTAGGGTCCGTGTGTTATTGGCAGACATGTCAAAAGCATTTGATCGAGTCGACCATGCAAGGCTTTTTCAGCATTTAACAACACTTAACCTCTGTTCACAGTTGTTGGCTTGGTTGTTTAGCTACACAACAGGAAGACGACAAAGGGTGGTTGCAAACGGTAGAGCGTGTCACCATATCTGTTTTTACTTCATATGTCAACCTGTGAAGTCATTTTTGGTGATACATTGGACACAGTTTATGCAGATGATATTGGTATATCACGAGCTGTAAAGTTAAAAGACATAGAAACAGACAAAAAGATGGAAATTGAGGCACTTGCTTTGGAAACTTGGGCGCAAAATAACAACATGCTCTTAAATGGAAACAAATCTGTCGAAATAAGGATATGTTTTGCAAAAAAAATCAATACAACCACCACCACTCATACTGGGAGGCCAGGAGGTTCCTGTGGTATTACAGTCAAAATACCTAGGCTATCATCTTGACAATCAATTAAATGGAAATTATCACATTGATGAGTGTGTAAAAAAGGCTTCTCAACATCTTCACTTTTTGACAGTTTTTGCAAAATATGGAGCTTCTGCTGATGATTTAGTCAGTATGTATTGCTCCTTGATCAGACCCTGTCTGGAGTGTGCTGTTAGTTGGTTGCACAAAAAAGCAAGCAGCTTTGCTGGAAAGCATGCAAAAGAGAGCACAACGAATCATTGAGAGATTTTCTAACACATCAATACATCTACCTGATTTACAAGGTCGGAGAGAGCAAGTCACCATCAAATTAATACAAGAGATGGCCCAGAGATCATCCTCTACATGATCTTTTCCACCAACCAGGGGTGAAAAAAAACTGGTTGGCTTTTTAGGAAGCAAAGCAATTTGACATTATTCAAAGCAAGGACAAAACGTTATGCTAGTTCTACCATTCCTTTTGGTATTAGACTGTTCAATTAATGTAATGTGGATAGGGTCCTTTTTGCAGTTGCACTTGTATGTTTCAAAACTTTTTGTTTATGTGCATGTGTGAATGGATGTATGGACAGACGTATATGCATATATGTGCAAATATCATTTATTATTTTTTGGAGTAGTATTATTGAATAGGTTTTGAAAATTTAGTTTTTATATTTCTTGGGTATTTTTGTATTTTATGTTTTTTCTTGCAATTTCATCTTTCAGTGTACTTTCTGCTATAATTCAATCTCAGTATTGCTAAGCAGAAAAGTAAATAAACTTCAAACTTCCAAACTGACTGAACCAGTTCAGAGTAAGAGAAAAACTGTGATATTTTGAGATACCATTAGAAAAAACTAATTTTCATTGAAACTAGGAATGGTCATATGTGGGAGTGGAATTCATACAGGTGGAATCCATGAGAACGGAAGTGTTAGATCCTCACGATTAATCAATCACTTGCATAGGCTGTGTGTGTAAGGCTGGCCACGGGGAGTCGGGGACTTGGGGCAAAAATGCCACTAAACTGGACAAAAATGCCCCTGCACAGACAAATTTAAATCTATTACGTCTGTTGCTAACAAAGTGAATATGAATAGACAGTGTCCATTGCGGCATTAAATTAAGATCTGCTCATGTTGCACCGTATTTCATTTTAGGCGTTTTTACAGTGTTGCGCATTTTAACCAATCACACACAATTCTGTTGAGCTTAGGAATGCAATGGCCAATCAGAGGCGTTCAGATGAGTCATCGCTGAAACTCATCAGTTTTGTTGAGTGCGCGCGCGTTCTGGACTCTTGCGAATTCTCTCATCATAAACAACAAAGCGCAGATGTACGTACAATTTAAGTAAGAGATTCATTTCAAAGTGTATACAGTTTCAGTGATTTATAACGATAGTTTTGTTTTTTTGAGAGTGCTTAGCTTTGTAAAAATCGACGCGTTTCAGAAAGGCAGGGCATAGAGGAGAAACAATAATGTACAGTATGTGGAAAATAATGTTTTTTTTTTTAACCTTAAACCGCATAAATACATTTCATTACACCAAATACACAAAATAATGTTTGTTTTTTTAGCAACATCATATGACCCCTTTAATACATTTGGCTGCTTTTAGCCTTACCCTGGAGCTGGTTCACCCTCTGCCTATGATCACGTGTGTTCCTTATTTGTGAGTTTCTTAACCAAGTGTCTTTTATATTAATAAATATAATCTAAATGGTTGAGAATGTCAAGACTGGTTGATACAGGATTTGGAGCTAGAATGTAGGGTTGTAACCACCACTCAATTTCAATGGAGGCGTACCACTGCCTAAAACGTAAGAACGGCGCGTGATGGGTTTTTTATGTTCCCTGTTCGATATCGTCATGGGGAATTGGGGTGAACAGTGGATTATAGTCTGAGGAAGTTCTCTTCACCACTACCCTATTTTACATGGTGCAACTTTTGCTGACAAGCTGGCGGCTGAAACTGGCATTGTATGAAATGCATTCAT